TTCAACGCTGAATATTCTTGAAGCATGCTCGGACGGACAAAGTATGATTCTTTGCTTTTTTCTTTTTCTTTTTTTTTTTTTTTTGTACCGTAAAGATTTCATAATTTCATCTTTAAAAATTTTGGCTCAGTTAGCTGTTTTTATTTGTCACTTATCAACATCTTCACCTTTATTATTAATAATGTTTAGAATTAGAAATAAGTATTCCCATCTTTTGAGTTGAACTTGGAAGCATTATTGTGTTGGTGTTTAAATGTCTGTTCATATAAACTATATTATTGTGTCTTTATATTAAAATAATTTTCTTTCAGTTCCTTAGTGCTAAATTTTCATTATATGGACTATTTGTAAATATTTTTCTACATTGAATATAACATTTTAGTACGAATCATCAACAAATTGTTACACAATATATCATATGTAAATTTACTTTGTTCAATAAATTTAATTTTCCTAATTTCATATATTATATATACGCTAACATAACCTCAAAAATAAGACAGCCCATGCATTGCATGGGCCTCAACTAGTGTTATAAATGATAATGAGAAAAAAGAGGAAATACTTAAAAGAAATGGGTTGGGCTTTTCCAATTATATTTGGGCCAAATAAAATTGGGCAGCAGGTTTGCATCTCATATATTACATAATCCGAACGTCTAGGGTTTACCAGTTGTTCTGAATCCTCTGAGCTGATAAAAATGGTGGCGCTCCTCTCTTCCTTTTTCCGATACTATTTTTTCTTTTGCTTAATTTACATCTCAAGCTGACTCTATTTTTGCTTCTTTTGGGTAAAAATGAATGTGTAGGCTCCAAAGAAGAGCGCAAAATTGCCGGCCGGAGTTTCCAAAAAAAAAGCGGAGAAGGTCGTGAATCCTCTATTCGAGAAGCGGTCGAAGCAATTTGGAATTGGTGGAGCTCTGCCGCCGAAGAAGGATCTCCACCGATTCGTGAAATGGCCTCAAGTGGTGAGGATTCAGCGCAAGAAGATGATTTTAAAGCAACGCCTTAAGGTCCCTCCTCCAATTCACCAGTTCTCAAAAACCCTCGACAAGAACTTGGGTACGTTTTTTTTCTTTTTCTTTTATTAGGTTTTATTTAACATTCGTAGTTGATAATTTTGTTTTCATTTGCTGAGCGTTATTCTTGTTTGATATATGGGATCTGATCATTTTCGTCGTTTTTTCTTGACTGTTTGGTAATCGTATTATTTGTATTTTATTGTTCGTGACTGATGATGCTGTTGAGCTTTTTGCTCATTTGATTTTGGTGTATTGGTTTGCGTTTAAAAGCGTGAAATGGCTATACTGGTATTCGTGGTTGAGTTCCCTTTTGATTTTTTTTTTTTTTT